CATCTCCCAGCTTCGGCCGGGTGCTGACCTGAGTCGCGTCGTCCTGCCGACGTTTATTCTCGAGCCTCGTAGCATGCTCGAGAGGATCACCAAGTTAGTGGCATTCAGCATCGGGGTGTCTTCCGGAGCTTCCATAGCTGACTGATTGTCATAGCTTCATGTGCCACCCCGAAATGCTCCTCCCGATACCCGAGATCGACGACCCAACCCAACGATTCCTCTCCGTAGTCAAGTTCTATTTGAGCGGCTGGCATATTCGTCCACCGTACGTATATAAACCCTTGCCAAGTTTGCGTAGGAGAGGCATGTCATTGACTTGGTCTTAGAGGAGTCAAGAAGCCCCTGAACCCAATCCTCGGCGAGATCTTCACCTGTTACTGGGACCTTCCCGACAGCACGAAGGCCTACTACATTTCAGAGCAGACGTCGCATCACCCTCCCAAGTCGAGCTACTTCTACATGGTTCCCGACCACCACATCCGGGTTGACGGTACTTTGAAGCCGAGGTCGAAATTCCTTGGAAATTCCGCGGCGAGCATGATGGAGGGAACTGCTATTCTGTCATTGCTGAACAGAGGACAGGACAAGGCCAAGGGTGAAAGATAGTAAGTCGGCGGGAGGTTCGGTTGGATGAGTGTATGCTGACTGTAACACAGCATCTTGACTCAGCCAAACATGTATGCCCGCGGCATCTTGTTTGGAAAGATGAAGTACGAGCTAGGCGACCATAGCTTTGTGCGCTGTCCAGAGCTGGACCTGGTTGCGGATGTCGACTTCAAGACGAAGGGCTGGGTTGGTGGTACCTACAACGCAATTGGAGGATTCATCAAGCGAGAGAGCACCGGTGAGGTTCTTTACGAGCTTTCGGGGCTCTGGAGCGAGGAGATGTTTGTGAAAGACGTCAAGGTAGGTCCAGCCAGGTTTGTGCACCAAGTCAGCGCTAACAAACCTGCAGACTGGTCATAAGGAAATGTTCTTCAACGCCAGGAGGTCAAAACCTAGCAGCCCGTCGGTGCGACCCATCGAGGAGCAAGACGAGCGCGAGTCCCAGAAGCTCTGGCAAGCGACTGCCCAAGCTGTGAAGGCTAGCAACCATGAGCTCGCTACGGACGAGAAAACCAAGGTTGAAGACAAACAACGCGAGGAGCGAGAGGCCAGAACACGAGACGGTGTTGAGTGGCATCCCAGACTTTTCAGAACAGTGCACGGTGGCCCTGGCGACGTTGAGGAAGGCGAGGAAGACTTGGAGTGGATCATCAACGCCAAGATGTGAGTTTCGGTGAACGAAACACAGAAACGCTGAATACGAATGCTGACCATGTCATAGCGATGGAGCAACGCCGGAGAAACAAACCGAGCAAATTTTGGCCATCTATCCCATCCTTCCTGGCCAGAAGGCAACAGCTGCAAACACGATTCCGCCACACCGGCCTTCTGCATCAGAGGCGCCAGCAGCTCCGGCTCAACCCGCCAAAAACGACCTGATCGACTTTGGAGATGATAGCAGCACTCCCACTGCGCCTGCACCAGCTGTCCAGCCTCCTACTGGAGCTCACGCGACCAGGAGCGACTCCAAGGATATCCAGGGCATGCTCAACAAGACAGGACATCAAGCTGGCGAGGGTCCGTTGATGGACTTCACCTCCGACATGAAAAAGGCGGTCCCGCCGTTGAAGAGAGCCGACACCAGCGAGGATAGCTTCCACGACGCCCTGGAGTAGACTAGACATGCGGTTTTTAGCATCCGTCAGGTAAAACACGTCGTCACTTTCATTCATCATGGGAGGTCAACCTCTGGCTAGAGGAGAGGAGATCCATTCTGTGCACTGGCGAAAACGGGGTTTGGTAGAAAAGGGATACCTTTGTAGATATGTAGCATCGTTTACGGACTAGCAATAATGGCATTCAACTGCGGACACTGATTTCAACAGAGCAACATGAACATGACTTTGTTTCGGAAGCTTTGTTGTGACAATAGTATACACATTTGATGCTTGACCCTCGAAAAGGGACCCTTGGTAATAAAAATAAACATTCCCAGAACACCGCGAACGCCAGTTTCTTTTTCAAATTGACCGCGCCGACTATGATTCAATATCATAGGGGCCATATGTCAGAATCAAGCCAGAAGGCCCCTCGATCACGGGTCCCGGCTTATGAACTTTGCCTAAACAGGCTTCGCAACAGCTCACGGTTACGGCTCCTGCTGCGCGCGGGGACAGGGCTGCTGCTTCTCTGGCGAGGACGCGCCCGTGACTGATGCTCGTGGTTGCGGGCTTGTCGTTTGGCAGAGCCGTCCCCAGCACCGTTGCGTTCGTCACCGCCCAGCCGCTTGCTGCCATTGGGTCGATCCCGCCGATTCCCACGTCGCTTATCCTCGTTCGGCCGGTCTCGTCCTTGGCTATCTCCAGTATCACGACCATCACGGAAGCCTTGACCTCCGGGTGGGCTGTCGACATCAACACCACCGCCGCCACCGCCGCCACCGTTGTTCTCCTAGTAACGGCGCCGCGTGGGCTCTGGGGTGGGCGAGCGGGAGGGGGAGCGTTCGTCGCGGCCGCGGTCCTTGAGCCACTTCTTGGTGCTGAGGGTGAGGTCGCGGTCGAGGTCCTCGGAGGGGTTCTTGCGGTGGATGAAGTTGCAGAAGCCGCCGCGGACACAGCCCTCCCCTGAGTTCAGACGGCAACAGGCCTCGCGGAAGTCTGTCACGGGTGACAGCTCGCAGTATATGGGGCGCGCGGCGTACCAGCGCGAGTTAAGATCGTCGCAGGCTTTTTGAGCCGAGTCTTCGTACTTGAAGCGGGCGTAGACGTTGCCTATAAGGTCTGCGGTGGTTGAATGTTAGCAATCGTTTCGATCTCAACGTGCAGAGACGGCGTCAAACTGACGGCGAGACAGGAAGAATGAGAGACGGGGAAAAAGACATACGATCATTGTTGTTGTCGCAGACGACCAGCTCCTCCAGCTCGCCGTACTTGCATAGCTCGCACCAAATGTCCTCGTAGAAGGCGTCAAAGTGGTTCTGCAGCTGGGAAGGGTTCATGCGGTTCTTCGGGTCGTATGCCGGGTTCTGGTAGAGGTTGGGCATGAGGATGGTCTGAGAGTAGCTGGGCTTGACGTGCTTTCGCGAGCAGCGGTCGCCGTGACGGCAGGCGCCGATCTTGAAGTAGAAGGAGCAGTTGACCTTGTCGAGCTCGGTACCGAAGATGGAAGCGAGAAAGTTGGCCATTTTCGCGATCGATTGTCTGGCGGCGAAAAGAAAGATTTCGGGTCGTAATGGAAAGCGGGATTCGAGGTCGGGAAGTTGATGGGGAGGGAAGGGATTGAACGTCGACGAAGGGTGAGGCGCGCGTTGAGATGTGTTTGGATCCTGGTCGCGATTGGGAATGCGACGGAGGAATATTTCAGACAGCCTTGCGCCACGGTTATTAGTAATTGCGAGGCTGGAGCTTTCTGTGGCGGTGCTTCGATGAGCTTCTGGTGGGTCGTGCATGCAGAGTACGTACCGCGGCCCGGATCAGAGTCTAGAACATGCACTTTCTAATTGACGTGTTGTTTATTACTTGCCGTGGGGGGAGATTAACATTCCGTCCAGCCTTATGCGATTGGCATCACTGTCTCTGATATTACTGTCGCTGGCATTGTCTCTGATGCATTCAATGTCTCTCTCAGAGATCATTATACGTGGGCCTGTGTTATCGCCAAACTACATCCTTGTGCAAGGCAAACTAGAAATACAGCGTCTACCACTGCTCATGTTTGAAACACTGGGTGGTTCCCTAGTCAGTTCTCGCATGCGGCTGAACTTAGACATGAATGACGCCGAATGGAAGAAGAGAACAGATCGGTCTGAAGGAGCGCCGATCCTTGGCTGAAAGCTTCCAGACATGCTCGTGCAATGGTGATCTCCCTTCTGATGTCCCGTCTGCCGCGTACAAAAGCTTCGCTCGTCCGATGGTGATGGACTGTCTTTCAGAGTCAAAATCCAGTCCGAGCAACGCGGCCATAGCACGATGGTCACGAGACCCGCTCCTCAGACGAACGCCGTCGATTGGCGCCGCTTGTGGTGATGGATAATCTTGTTTAGGTTTCTTCCAGATGCAGTGGAATGATCAACGGCCTCCGGTGGGAAGGGATGGTGAAACGGTTGGCTTCGTGAGTGACGCTGAACCAAATGGCCAGACGCCGCAGTCCCGCCGCCGTCCCGTCTCTCGGACTCAGGTCGAAGCCAAGACGCTGGAGGTCTCTCCCCAAAAAGGTGCCCACAACTGGCGAACACCCCCAGCGGCCTGCAACTTGATTTGGGGATTTGACCAGGATCTCATTCGCCAATCATGACTCGAGAACCGTGTTTACCCCCGCTTTAATTTTGGAGATTGCTGGGTCTCTCCCCGTTTTGGCCGTTTTGGGGGACGCTGCACCTGTGCTTTCCCACCTCCTGCAGGACATGCGCAAACTTCCCGGCCGTGCGCATCCAACGCGGACCGAAGCCAACATCTGGTCTGTTAGGTTGCTTCTACAGCCCTCACCACACTCTGGCACTCTCAACTGCGTGTGTCTCCTTTTTTTAGTCCCTTACTCAGAACCAGTCCCTTCTTTTTGCCTTATCTCTTTGCTCGCCCCCTTGCTTGCTACCACAAACTTGCCAGGAGTTCTTTTTTTATATTCTTGATCGACGCCGCGTCCTTCACCATCATTTCGCAGGATCTGCGAAGAAGCTTCTGCCCGTCTTCGATTTTCCTTGACACGGACCCTCTTCCGCGGCCACAACTTCGAGACATTACCCCGGACGCCCTCCTCTGTTTATATAACCCCCACGATCGAGACGCACCCCCGATAGCTGGCACCACAACCTTGGGCCATGAATTTAAGCGTGACTCCTCTCCCCTCCTGCTGACGAACCGACGCGACCTTTTCCCCCTTCGACAACCGGTCCTCGCGCCGACCCTGCTTACACTTGTCCGAACCAGCATATACCCTCTCTCGACGAAGCCGCCGCAATGGACCAAGCAGACATCCCCGCGCTCCTGTCGCGACTCGCCAGTGACGAGGATGCCGCCAGGAAAATGGCCGTCTTCAAGCTGCAGTCCTCCATCAACGATCCCGCTTTTGCAGACGTTTTCATATCTTCCGGCGGACTGGTTGTGCTACGCCGTCTAATCATGAGCGCTGGAGGAAACACACTGGCGTACTCGCTGCAGAGTCTCACGCGTCTTTTGGAGGTGGATATGGGCTGGGAGATTTTTGAGGGCTCGTCGTCCGGTGACTTAGTCGAGCGCATCGTCGAATTGATCGTAACGAACCCCCTCGTCAACATTTTGCGAGGCGCCATGTCGATTCTGGTCGCAATCGTTGCACACTCGCAATCCTCCGGCCGGCCCAATACCCCGCGCACTCCAGGCTCATTCGGTTTCAGGGCGCTGAAGCCAGCCGTCGCCGTGTACCCGCAATTCTTCGAGCTCGTCATCTCACAACTGCAGTCCGCCGACCACGCCCTGTGCGCCAACGCGCTCATGCTCATCAATGCCATGATCAGAGACGCCGTCTCCAGCGACAGCAGCACGAAGCCGGGGTCGCCTGCTATGGAGGAGTGGTCCAAGTTTATCAAGCGTTTGCAGGACTTGGGCCTGATCAAGGCCGTGTATAATCTCATGCAGAGCTCTTCATTGCAAGATCTCGCGCACCCACTGCTCGAATTTCAGTCCTTGACCAAGGTTCTACTAAGAAAGTGGCGCGAGGTGAGGGTTGACCTGGAGAGGCCTGAACACCGACGCGGCCTGAAGGGTTTACATCTGGCGAGCAATCCGGAGAAGCAGGTCAATGGGCATTCAAGACTGGATGAGCTGAATGAGGGCAAAAAGGGGAGCCGACGACACAACCCTGAGAAGTGGAGAAGACTTGGCTTCGAGACGGAGAGCCCCGCGCAGGAATTCGAAGTGCCTGGGTTCCTGGGCATGATGGATTTGACCGACTACGTGCGCAAGAATGAGGACAGCTTTCAGAAGCTGCTGTTGGAGCAGTCGACAAAACACCGAAGTGAGCGGTGCCCGGTTGCGAGAGCAAGTCTTGCTGTCACCATGATCCTCTACGATCACTTCGAGGTTGAAAAGTCGGAGATTGAGGACACGATGAAGAGCTATCAAGGCTTGGACGGTATTAAGAATAACGAGAAGCTTTTCCGACCGCTCCTCCTGCAGTGGTCGAGGCTACACACCGCTGGCTTGCAGGCTTTCTTCCGCGTTTGGAAATCCACGGCTGCAGAGCAACTGGACTTTGAGAAGGTCGCAGAGCTTGTTCGCATCCTCATTGAGCAGGTTGTCGGTCAAGCTGTCAGAACGAAGGACGTAGTGGAGGTGGAAGAGGAGCTCTTGGAGTACGACTGCACCAGGCTACGTGAACTTCAGATGGAGCTGCTTGAGCTGTCTTTTGAAGATCAATGGGGTCAACATTTGTATCAAGTCCGAGAGGAGTTGAGACAAGAGGCTCTCCAGTTTGTCAAGGAGCAGCGCATCAGGTGCCTACTTCAAGGTTCATGGTTCTCGAAGCCGCTACCCCGCCGAGACACCAACCCTCGAGACGAGACCAAGCGCCGGCTGTATACGCCACGGCCCTGGCGGTTTGCCAAGCTGTCACACAACAGGAGATACCTCCACTACGCCGACTTCGAAACTCAGACATCACAGGACCCCGGCCTGGATATTCTGACAGAGAAGGTTGACCTCAGCACGATCAGTTCAGTGGTGTCAAACGTTTCTGCATCCAACGAAGACACTCGAAGCGCGACTAGTAGTTCGACGCTCAAGAACACCGCGACGGTGAAGTCGACAACCAAGATTACAATCTTTAGCTACGTCAACCCCGCTGAGGCAGCCAAGGGCGGCGATGCCAAGGAGCAGGCCATCCTGACGCTGTACCCTGTGACCCATAGTCTGGCGTCAGAGTGGCTCGATGGCCTTCTGATGCTGCTCAACCAGGCGCCAATCACTGCTGAGACGAACAAATTGGTCAACCTGGTTAGTGACTTTGGTCTGAAGATCAGGCTGCTGAACGTGAGGATAGAGGCTGCATACACTGGCCCTCCTCCAGGGGCTGGCGTCGTCCCTAGCCGGGAAGGTCTAGATGAAGACTACTTCTACGAGGTTTGATTGCCACCAAAGCTGGTGAGCCTGTCGAAAGATTCGATTGATGTCTTTATTTCAGCTTATTTCCTTTGTGGTCCCTTTTGGCTTTCATATACCCGCGTTCTCTCTTGCGTCTAAAGCCGGGGATGTAACGAATGGAGCTGGGAAGAAGAAGAAAAAATTGCAGTCCAGTCTACAGGCTGTTTTACAAATATGTGCATAGCGAGCGTCGTTACATACAGAGACTGGATTTGTTGGCTGGCTGGCACATGTCTCTCCCCTGGGTTGATGGGGCGCTGAGGATGCTGCACATATGGGGGCGGATGGTTGGTTGAATGGAAGGATAGGTGTTTATAGCTTCGCAGACAGGCTCTCATATGATCATACCCCCTGAGGGCAAGTCTTGATGATTTGCTCGAGTACATTTTCTAATACCAAGTAATTCTCCAAGACCTTTATCAGTGATGAAATGTGCGAGGTGCTTTTCAGCTGTGATAGTGGCGTTCAACAAACGGCAGCTGAGGGCCCTTTGCGGAATGGTGCGCGATAGAGTACCCATATAGCAGATGACTTTGACTGACAAGACTTCCCCCGCTCAGAAGACATTTTCTTTCGGCCAAAATCCAGAGCTGGCCGCATCCAGGGCCGTGGCATGTCACCGCTGTCTGCCGTGGTCGTGGTGCCTTGCAGGGGTTTCCAGCTGGTAGCGCGCGGCAGGCGGGGCCACCAAGTTACCGTATCTTCTCAGCGCAAAGAGAATCCGCACTCCCCTGTCGTCAAGGTTTAACTGCAGGTGCAATTGGACACTCGTGGGGGATCCAATGTTAAACCAGCGAGCGGAGCTCACGTGAAAAGCTGGATTGGCCTGACAGGGGGGGTGCGGATTCTCTTTGCGCTGAGAAGATACGGTAGCTTCCCGTCGTCCCGTTACCAGCATGCCGGCCCAAGCTCCACCCTGTTGCTCCCCCAGCCACCCGACAATTCTCAGCTCCAGCTCCAACAGAAAGGACCCCTCCCGTTTCCTTTGGGTTGTCCACTTCTTGAGGGCATTCACCTTTACGATAAAGGCGGGGAAGTTGTCGCTCCACTGGCCGTTTTCCCGTTTCAAAGGACAATCGATTCAGACGACGCAGGGCACATCTCAAATTGCGTACAAACACAAGGAGCGCAAGTTTGCTGTACACCATAGGATTATGACATCACTCCCGTCCGAGTGAACCAACCACCGCTGAAACGGACCTGTCTCTGAGAAAACCTACCCTCCGCCCCCAACTCATGGTCCGCCGACTGCCGTGGACCCATCCACATCGTAAAGTCGACTACACCGGCAACGACACCTCGAGCGAAATGGTCTTCACCAGGACCCCGCGCGGTGGCAGGAGAGGAGGGTTGACGTACAACAACTCGTCGTACGGCAAGAGCAATTACAGCAACAACCGGTATTCGCGCGGCGGGTACGGCAATGGCGGGGGTGGTCCGAACACCCCGTCGTCGCAGAAGAAGCGGCTGGACGGGCTCTACCTGGAAGGGAACTGGTACTGCAACTGCGAGCCGCGGATGCAGGCCAAGTACCTTCAGACCAAGAAGCAGGGCAAGAACCATGGCCGGTACTTTTGGACGTGCGAGTCGAGGGGTTGTAACTTCTTCCTATGGGACGACGATGCGAAGAACCGGGCGGAGGGAAACACGTTGACGTTGCCGCCCATGCCGGAGGACGAGCCGACAAAGAATGGTGCGGCCATGCCTGCGACTGCACCAGTGCCTGCGCCTGCGCCTGCTGCTACGCTGCCAACGCCGACGACAGCCACGCCGAGACAGCGGTCTATGGGTGACTACCTCACGCAGCAGAAGGAGGCGGAGACGCCGTCGCGGACCGCAAAGAGGAAGAGGGTTCTCTTTGAGTTCAGCGACGACGATGAGGAGGATGACTTCGGACTAGGGGATATGTCGTCGGATGAGGAGAGGCAGATGAACGAAGCCATGGAGCGGAGCGCGAAGAAGTTGAGGGACGCGGCGCCGGTCACGCCATCCTCCCGACGGGCGGCGGAGAGCAAGGTCGATACCCCGGGGACGGTCTCGAGGACACTCTTCCCCGACGCCAAGAGGAGGAACACCGGCACCGGGTCCTTCTCCGCAGCGAGCACGGCGTCGTCGATGACTGCGAACCCCTCCATGTCGCCGCCGGCGTCACAGACCCCGGAGGAGCAGCTGGACCCAACTGACGAGGTGATGGCCCTGCTCAGGGGGCAAAAGGTGGACGAGGCAACGATGGGAGAGGTGAGGGGCGTGCTGCGGCGGTACGCGATGAAGGCCAAGGGGATTGCGAGGGGGAGAGACAGCGTCAGGACGGCCCTCAAGACGAAGGATGAGAAGATTGCCGGCTTGCAGGAAAGGGTTGCCAGTCTGGAGGATCGCAACCGGGCTCAGCGGGAGGAGATTGCCGATTTCAAGGCGAGCATTATGGATCTATACTCGAAGCACTGATGAGAAGGAGGGAATGGGTTACGATTAGGAGAAGCGGGATGGATTGCTTTGGGCGATTGGATTTGAGGATACCCCTTGTTATGATTGTAGCTTAGACAGGACCTGGGACATTGGTTGTTCGTAATCGGACTGGTTCTTTTAAAACGGTTGTCTCTTGTGATGAGGTCAGAAGAAGGTGAGCTATTGCCCTGTCGAGAAACGACTACTTCTGCGACGTTCACCTTCAATGTAATAATCATGATGCGAGACATTTGGTTCGGCTCTTCTTCCTATATGTCAACTGCACTGCTAAGTTCTCTATTCGGCCGGCTTGTACCAGCCGTCGCAGCCGTTTGCGTTGACACCCTATTTCGTGTCTCTATTGCGAACTTCAAAGTTGGCTCTCATTGGCGTCTTACGAAGGAGACGAACATGACATAGTCGAAAGGGGGAGGGGGAGAAAACGATGATAAAAACAAGAGGGGAAAAAAGGGTTGAAATGCCAAAAGAATTCACTTGAATCCTTAACCCCACCGAGAAGATGATGGATCACCAGGGCGCTGCGATTGCGCTGACCTGACCACTGGGCCATTTTGTTCTTCTCGTCGGTTGAAAGCAGACGACCAGAGGCAGGCCTATGTAGGTCAGGTGAGTGGGTGCCCGACTGAGTCCTGGCAGCAAGTGTGTCCAAGTCCAACGTGCCTGCCACTTTCTTTCACTTACACTCACATGGTCACATAGTACATGCGAAGATATAGAAGTGATACTTATGCCTCTCGCAAATTACTTGAAATATAGCAGCGCCTCCTTGTCGAGGGAGCTCATCAATAATAATGAAAAGAATGTTGTGACTTCACCAATATCCTCGAACGAGTCTAGCCAATTCTCGGTTTGCAGCCTCACCTGGCAACGTCTCGCGTCAAACAATGCAATAGGAGACTCAATTGGAGCGATTAACCGTCTGGGAGCACATCTCAATAGTACGTCACGTTCATCTCTGCTGCAAGTTTTCCTGCCGGTCAGCCAGAAACATGATTATGGCTGCCCCGTGAAAGAAGATGACAGGAGCATTCTCGTCTATCATCACGCGATGGCAACCTGCTCATCAATGGTCATGACGTTGCAAATGAACCTCCTGCATCACGTTCGATGAAATCCAATGTAATGAAGAAAAGTCTTTACAATAACTAAGGTATAGTAGCAATAAACCAGGTATACGCCGTCGCGGGGCTTAATACCCCCAGTTGCCCGACCCTTTACCTCCCTTGTATGACCCAAATCCTGGATACCATGGTTCTTTTCAACCTTACTCGGCAAGAACCTCGCGCAACATGACAAGGAAGTTTTCCTTGAGTTTATGAACCTCAGACACTGGCGGCTTGACCGGTTCGCCAGCGCTCCGGCGAAGCCTGTCGCGTCTCTTAGCGCGACGTCGACGCTCGGCCTCAATAGGGTCGAGCTCGTCTTCCTCTTCTGCCTCCGCCTCGTCGTCTTCTTCATCCTCGTAAGCCATATCCTGAAGATCTTGTTGATCAAGACCGAAATCGGAGGAAGAGAAGCCCGTGGGTACGAGATCTGGGCCGCCGTTACCCTCAGCAGCCATCTTTTGCCGTGTCTTGTCATGGTGCCACTTCTTCCTGGCCTCTTGCCAGGCGATGAGTGCGTTCACTTCTTCGATGACCTTGGCCTTGTCGATCGCACCTGAGCTAACACCTCCCTCGAATAGCGCGTTGATGTTCAAAGTGCCATTCTTGGGGCCCTTTCTGAGGAATTCCAGGATGTCTTCTATCCAACCCATCAACTGGTCGAAGAGTCCATTGTCATGTGTGTGAACTTCATGCACGAACTTGTAGAAGTTGTGCTCGTGCCTCTGGCAGAGATCGATGAACGCTTGCACAGTCTGGTTCGGGTCCGCGGAAGCGTCCTGCTCCTGGCATTTCTCGACAACCTAGAAGCATGTCAGCAATTTATCCTCACTTCGATGGGGACCATCTTACCTGAATCATGTCGTCGATAAAGACGGCGAAGTCGGTGACGCTGTTGTAAACGTTCGCAGACTTGTAAACCCTGACAAGCGGCTCGTAGAAGATGGTGAAGAGATCCCTAAAGAGCTGGAGAGTTACTGGCTCCTCGACCAACTGCAACATCATCGCCTTGTCGTGCTGCCTCGTGCACAGTTTCAAGAACTGCTTAAGGTACGAAAACAGTTGCGCGCCCTGTTTGAGCTCTTCATCCACGTTCTCGACCGCGTTGTTGAATGCCACGTAAGCGTTGTACAGTCGGCCGATTTGCTCCGAGGTCAAGGCAGGCTCAAGGTACTCCGAGCGCAGAATAACGACAATAATGTCCATGTCCTCCGACTGAGCTTCCTCCCGAATAGCCACCTTAATGTGGTCCTCTGCTTCCGTGTACATCTTCAGTTTCTTGGTCAGGACCTCATCGCCAATCTTGGCAGCAAGAGTGTCAATGGACTTCTGGAAACTCCGGATGCCGTCGTTCAGCGTAAGGGAAAAGATGCGCTGCAGGAGTGAGCGTGTGCCGAAGGGTTGTGCCAGGAAGATGTCCAGGACGCCGGACATGACAGCCGCGGGATTAGCGATTCTAATAACGTTCTTCATGACGGTATACGGAATGAGCGAGTGGATCCTCTTAGCTTGGGCAAACAGCTCAGGAGAGTTGTCCTCCGCGAGAAACAGGTGGTAGATTGTAGCCGCGACCTCTATCCTCAACCACTCGGCAAACTTGCGGTACTGGATGCTCAGGTCCTGAATGGTCTCCTTATCCTTGATCTCCTTGAAGAGCGAGGTCAGACCGTTTCGTTCAACAATCTCCTGACGGAACCTGGGATGCCATTAGTAACACATTACGCATCTCACATTGCGGACACTCACTCTTCCATGTAGATGTCGAGCTCCGCTGCGCGCTTCCGCGCAATTTCGTAGAACTTCTTCTGCTCCTCCATGCGCAACTGGTCAACAGCCTTTCTCCGCTCAATGTCGTCGATATCGGCATCGGTCGGCGTGATTGGATCCTTGGTGAGGAATTCCTCCATGGCCTTGGTCTGCGCAATCTGAGGGTTTGACAGGAGAGAGCGCAAAAACGCCCTAAGTGAAACGCGCTGGCTCTCCCGCCATAACGTGACGGGCTCGTTGTTCTTCTTGCTGAGGAAAGGAAGAGGGCTTCTCGGTCTGCTGTCGGTTGACACGCGGGGTGAGTTGCGGCCGGAGGTGGTAGAGCCTGCGCGCTTGTGCCCTGATTGATGCTGTTAGAGAGCGTGTTAGGAGTGACGGGGGAAAGATCGCTCACCTCTGATTGATAGCTTAGAAGGCTCGCTTGGGGGAGCGAGGCCGGTCATTTGTGTCGATGCAGAGGAAATTGACGACGCCGAAGAGTCAGGAGATCCACCACCAGTGAGGGAGGAGAACAGGCCCGACGTCGTGGTATCCGCCTTGTTCTTCTTGGGTAAAGTTGGGAGGACCTTTCCGGGTAACTCTATACGTAGTCTCTTGTGCAATCTCATAAAATCGCCATACCTTCTGCCGATGAAAAACTCGAGTTCGCCCTTGCGGTGGATGCGCATGAGGAATTCCTGGTCATGGTGTTAGTGAAGCCCCGCGTCTGTTTCGGGGTAAGCTTACCGCATGCTTGTGAGTCCTGATGGTCTTCCTTTCCGAAGTAATGCGCACGGCGGTGACATTCACGTCCCAGCCATTGATGTAGTTTCCCTCCGGCATTGTGTGCATGACTCCCGTGTCAATCGCATTGCTGTCCACGACCTCGATCTCCGAAAATCGTATCCTCTCTTCGAAGCCGGAGGAGGTCTTGCAACCCGACACCATCATCAACTCGACTAGCTTCTGACATTTTATGGCCAACTTGCGTCTCTTCGTTTCTTCCAATCTGTCTTCGGAGGATGAAATGTTCTTCGTCGCAAAGGATTCCAGGAACTGGACGTGGGAGCAAAACGAGTCAGCGCAAGCTGTGCCGGCGGGGGTGTTTTCTGGGCGTTCCAGAGATCGCGGGGAAGCTTTATTACTTACCAGTTGCAGCTTGTCTTGCCAAAACTCCTTCTCCTTGGCCTTGTCAAGGAACGGGAAATCGCGAACATGGTGAACGAAGATGTAGCGCAGGATAGGGAGCTCAGAGTCCAAGGGGGAGACCTCGCCGACGTCGGATTTGAAGGGGGCGCCGAAGCGCTTTAGGGCCGTGGGAGAGTTGAGCTCTGAGATTTCGTACCTGACTTGCTCGGAGATCAGCTCTCGCTTGAGGTCTGGAGGCGAGAAATGTCAGCATGGTCCCCGAAAATGCCAGTCAGTCGACATACAGTGCTCTTGCTTGCCCGTCAGAGATTGACCCGGCGGAGGGATAGAGGCATCGCTCTTGGTGCGGACGGGGAGCTGCAGGTCAGACTTGACGGCCGGAGCCGGGTCCTGGGCGGACGCTACAGCAGCACCATTCTGGGGTTGATCTTGCGATGTCGAAGCCATCGGCGATGTTTGTCTTGGGCCTTGTTGAGCTACCCGGGGAGCACACAGCGAGTCGTAAGATGCCTCTTGTCGATGCCAAGGTCGTGGAAGGAAAAGAATGTTCGTAGGCGTTGGGAGGGAGGAGGGTGGACGTCGTCAAAAAGGTCGAGGTGATGGGATAGAGCTGACTGGCGTCAGACCCGGAGCGAGTAAGGCAAGGTATCTGCGGTTAGGTAGCGTAAGGTAGGTAGCGTGGGTGTAGGCTCGTAGCGGCGGCGCGGCAACAATAGCTGGGGGCCTGAGGGAGGGGCTCGACGTAATAATCAATCTACCCTGGGCTGGGCTGGGTCCCCAAGCGCAGAGCAGATCCAATGGTGACGGGGCCCAGGTTCAAGTTGCAGGGTTCAGGCCCAGCGACCGCGGTGGAAACGCAGGCTCGTAGGGCCGCTGGAAGTAACGCGCGTATGGCGGGGTAGTTACAGGCTCTGCCGACAGCTTCTTTCTCTTCCAGGTTACCGTAGGCAGGTAGGTTGCCGTTCTTTTTTGCTGTGAAGCCTGGCGGAAACGAGAGCAAGAAGCGGTAACGGTAGCTGAAAGTCAATGCTGTCGCGATACGGCGGGGAGCCTGGCTTAAGCCTTTTTTTAGGTGGTATCCCAAACCGCTTAATCTTGGTATGTATGCAACTTTCTTGTCGTCTTTGTTTTTTTAGTCTCCGACTGCCTCAGTTGCCTTGCTTCCCGGTTTTTTAATAGCTCTTTTCTCTCGGCGGGAGCTAGGGGTAGTAGAGGGGGCACAACACACGTCGTTTGGTGACGGCACGGGGAGACAAAATGAGCTCAGAGCTGTGTGTCCGTCGACACTGATGGAGCTGTTTTGGGTGTGAAGCAAGCGGTACGTGTGGGGTGGTCAGTCACCCGCGCATAGGGATGGATCGGGATGTTTATTCTCTTTTCAGTCTCGCAACCTACAGCCCAGCCCAGCCCAGCAGAGCGGATGGATCTCTCGGACACCTTAGCTCGGAGAGACGGCACACCAACACACACCCATACACCATCTCCTAAGCCATGTTTGGCGGAGACTCACGACAGGAAACAGCAGACAAAACAAGCAAGGCAAGGAAGGGTCCGTAACCGTATCTAACACGCGGGAGAACCCTTCTACGAACAGTGTGGCCGCCCTGGACGGGATGACGGCAAACCGTCTTTTTTGACTTTTTCTCTTCCCCCTCCATGTGCTGTGTGCTCGGCCTCTCAGCAGTTCAGGGTCCTGTCTCCTTGTGCTTGCTTGCCCCTGACAACAAGGCGTTGTGACGCGCGAGGTCGATGCTGAAGCTCGGTTTGCTCTTATTCGGGAGCCAACCTAAAGGCAAAAAAACCACCACAGGATGAAATACAGGGATATTTGTTGGGTGTGCTGGCTCACTGCCGCCCCTCCTCCGACAGCATGTTCGACTGTCACTGCGCAGCCATCTCCAAAAGCCAAACCTTTCCCGCGTGCCTTACTGCTAGGGATGATCCACCTTGTCTCCCCGACTGCGCCACAGCCTGGCCACTGAGCCATTCTTACTTACGCGGTACTCTATGCTGGCACACTGGCTGATCGCATTCTGAGGCCCGAATGACGCTGAAGAGGTGTGGCGGTGACATCTGCTGTGGTGGTTTCTGTAGAGTGTTGGCCATGGGATGCATGACGTTGCCCCCTTCTGGAGCTGGGCCGAAAGCCGAGACAAGACCTCCTCCATCCTCCCAAGACTCGTTGGAGACACACACGACGGACGGCACGTCCACTGAGCACCACGACAGTAAACTCCAAGTGACATACCTCTCACACTTCACACGCACTTCAGCCACAATCCCATACAGTACTCGCGGATTGGTACTGCAAGAGGCCTTGGCCTGCGCTTCGCTTCGCTTTTCACTCTCTCATACGAATACCAGCCAGCCACACAGGCACCTTGCTTGCCCTGCTGTTTGGTTTTCCCCGTCGGAGATTTTGACGTAGTCACACACTCGCCGCAGTCTGCAGCCCGCAACGTGTTGCTCCATTCGTTGACTCAAAAAACATCGCCCCCAACCAAGAAGCCTCTACATCCTTGGTAGGAGATCCGCTCCGTTTGTTGTCAGTCAGCCTTGCTGGCCAAGGACACAGACGCGCAATCATTGTCGCCATCAGCTCCTTGGCCCGGACGACGCCGAACGGCCCAAATGGGGCACCGAACGGCTAGCGCGCCGATTGTTCGATGGGTTGCGCTCCCGTGAGATTCTGCGGCCCTTATTCGTGCCATTCTCCCCCGCCGTATCCACCTGCCCAGCGATCAAGCAAATCTTTGCTGGGCCTTTTCTGTCCGTGATGTGAGGATACGGCTGCTCGTAAAACATCCTTAAAGTACGTTGGGGGCCTAACCAATGTTAGCGCCACAATACGCACGAGGCTGGTCGAAGAAAGCTTCTGGATCCCGCGGCTCGCGGGAAACATTTTTCTCACCATCAGGACCCTCAGGCCCAACCAAGCCTCTGCGGAATGGATCACACCAGGTAATAAGAAAAACGCCCCGTTTCCGATCACGCTTCATCCCTGCGCCTACGCGGATATGGTGCCGGGCCCAAGACGCACGGTAGGACTGTCGTCGGGGTTCGGAGCGGGCCTCTTTCGGTGATGGTCACGACATATGCATAACCCTCATTTGAGCTGCCCATCGGCCATCCCGAATCGTAGGGCTAGTCGCCGCTTGCTTTCCCCGGTGCTTAGCCTTGAGTTAAATCCGATGGTGATGACAAAGTTGAACAGCAAATATTCATTCAGCCTCTGAAGTAATCTCCATCCATCAGTGCACTCGGAACGAAGGTGGAGGAGTCTGTGATGGTTTTGGCGGGTTAGGTCGGAAAGGCCCGCAACATCCATTCTGATCGTATTCAGTACGGTATTTGGGGAAATTCCGGGGCTCTACGATGTGTTCTCAGCCTGGATCGTATTCTACCAAAGTTCTTCCAGACTTGTCATCAAAAAATTGGAACCTGAATCCTGGGAGATGCTTACGACATCTAATTCCAACACTATCGATAACCCTTCAGTCTATATTCCAAGGCTTCAAAGTGCACTACTGATACCCGTCGTTAACGTTTGGCCGTGCCAAATATGGTCTAAATCACGACAGTTGATTTCGATATTGTCCATGTAATATGAATGAACAAACATGTGGCCAAAAGTGTAGGCGTGACGCTTCAGTCTCGTCGAAGCATGATTTCCCCAGCCTGCAGTGTATGCACCAGCTTAGCAAATTATCATATCTCAAGATCATGTCTAAACTCTTGAATCTTCCCTGGACGCAATTTTGGGTACTTGTGCCGATATCCTGTGAGGGCAACCAAGTTTTCAGGCTTTTTGTTTTCTCCCTGGCGTAACTCCGTGAGCCGCATTAGGTGAAGGGAGTGACTTTGACGTCAAAACGAATATCTCTAGGAAAGTCGTATTTTGAGTGATCTCTCAGAAAGATTGTATTCTCTAAACAGGAAGAGCTTCTGCTATTCGCCTTCTACTTGTGGAATAAACCTTTACCTCTCTGTGGTAGGAGATGATAAGCGGAGTTCCGAGGAACCAATGGCCTGCGAAGCTGAATTTGCATATTTTCAAAAGTCACACGATCCATCATTCCAACCTGACGACACCTTTGAATACGAGGACTTCAACTATGAGTCGAAGCTGTGCGGTGATACCACTGGATATGGGGTTACCAAGTGAGGATACCCACTGATGAACGAAATGCTCGTTCCGTCCGCGTTATAGGTACCAAATTCCGGCTTCTGGATGTGGAACAATTCTTCAATAGAAGAGCTCTCTTATCATAAAGACTTCTTTCCCCCTAGTACGGGGCTGTGATCTGCCCAGCGGTGGGTTGAGGGGACAGGGTCCTGCCTTAGGATGAGCAGGGTGATAGGTGTCATCGCCACAAGACAAGACAGCCTATTCTGGGTTATCTTTGACCTCATGTATCTGCATCTTGACCGTCTTCCGTCAGTTAAAGGATTAAGTGAAGAAGATCTGTGAGATGGTGACTCTTGTCCCTAACCAGGAGCATACCATCACGATGAAACCAGCTTGAAGTTGCAACTTTCATATTTCAAACCTGCTATGGGAGAAGTATCGTAGTTGAGCTACGTATGAATGTCGGCAACGAGACCGGTTCCGGACGTGATACTTAAACACCGGATGCCATCCACACACTGCTTCTTCTACCACCTATGGCCTTTGTAATAGACGATAGCAGCCGCTGAACTCACGAGAAGACTTGATCCCCACTCGGCACACTGTTGGGTCTTATATGTATTCTGAACAGGCTCAAGCAAGAAACATATATATGCCACTGATTAGGATTTCTGAATGAAACAGGAAGTACCAATACAAGAGACGGCGAGAATGACGAAGGTGGCCAGAAAAGTGATGGCGAGTAGATAGATAAGTCGCAACGGGCAGCATAACGTCGATATGTACGAGGATACTGCGGCTTCAAGTCCTTGAATGCCGCAATGGTCGAGAAGTGCTGTCGATCTTCGACTTTGAGCCGCGAGGGCGCGCACACTTCTGAAGATGTCTAGAGATATTCTCTACTCGAGGCTGCCGACGGCATTTTCCTTACCTCTACCTCACTTTCCCAGCAACTCTTCCAGCTATCCATTGTCCACGAAGGCTGCCGTTATGATCGAACGCCTCCGGTGGGAACTTTGCGTCCAGAGCGCCCTTGGAGTGAACGCTCAACATACCTCTCCAGGCTTTCATTCCGCTCCCCCTACATTTCCAACCATGATGTACAAGTCTATTAGGAAAGCAGAAGAGAGTCAAAGTAGATGTAACCGATTATTCTATTGAGGGGTATCAAATATTACCATGTAAAACCTCGCAATGCCTATCCCGTGCGCTTTCAAACCGGATATTCCAGATGCCTCACCTACAACTCGTCAAAAACCCTCAACCTGTCCTCTTCCTCTCTTCCACCGCGATCTCCCCACAGCGGCGGCACATGCCTTTCCTGACTCCCGTCACCCTTGCTATCAACACCCAAGCCCGGAGTGCGATTAGCACCCTTCTCGACAATCCTGGCAGCGACGTCCTCCAGGTCGACACCGCCAACTTGCTGCGCATACTGTGCACCGATAAACAACAGGATCAAGATGGCGAACACGACAGACATGACGATCCAGACAGTCCGCAACCTCTTGCGCGTCTTCTCTTGCCACTCCCTGTCTGCCCTCTCCCATCCCTCGATGCGTCTCCTGACAAGGTCAACCCTCTCCCCGAGCCCCTGAATCCGCGTCCTGCCCTTCTCGATCCTCGTCTGCAACGCCTCGATGCGTTGCTCCTGTTCGTTGAACTGCCCAAAGGTAGCCAGCTGCCCGTCGACGTCCCGCGCCATCTCTTCGGCTTCGCGCTCAAACTCCCCCGTCAGCCGCCGAGACGCCACCGCCAGCTCCTTGATCGCCGATATGGTATTGTGCAGCATGCTCTTCTTCTCGAGGACGGAGTAGTACGTCTCGTCAAGCCGGCGCGTCGTCGTCGTTGAGAAGCTGCTCAGGTCCACGAGCGACTTCTTCAAACCCCTGCATATCGCATCGAGTCAGTATGGAACACACCCCTTTTTCCTCTGCGCGCAAGATTTAAACATACGTGACCCTGTTGGCAGTCCTCTCCTTCTCCACCACCAGTGAAGTCGCAGTATTGGCTTTCTTTCCCTTCCCTCGAGGCGGCGAGACGTTCAAAGAATTCTCCCCGCCCCCGAGCATGGGGCCAACAAGGGCACTCGTCCGTCTGCTCGAATCCGGACTCCTGCTGGGCGTCGCGAACTCCGACCTCGTCATGTCGAGCGAGCTCCTCCCCAACACCAAGCTCCGATCAGTCGCCGACAGCCCGGGAGACCTCTCGTCTGGGAAGAGGAACTTGCTGCTGTTGTCCCGCCTGCTGCTGTGGTGGTGTGGCTGCGGCGTCGGGTGGTGGTGGTGACTGTGGCGGTGACGATGCATCTTGAGCGGCGGCGAGAACTCGGTGATGGAGCGGGTGATCTGGTGCCTCGGTCTGCGCGCAGGCAGCAGGGCGGCAGCAGCTGCGGTGGCAGTCGATGTTGCGGTAGCAGTTGCAGTCGCAGTCGTGGTAGCCGCGGGCGCGGGAGCAGCCTTGTCGGAGGAGGTGCCGTGGCCGTTGCCGTTGCTGTTACCGGACGAAGAGTTGCTGATGCCCGCTGCTGTCGACAATGCTACCATCGACGCCGCCGTCGGCAGCTCGAAGCGGGCGGCGGACATGGTTTCACCTTGTTGACCGTCGTCCCTTGTTTCGTCGCTCGTGGGCCTTGGAAGTCCCAAGTTTGGCTGACTGGTGCTGGGCCGCCGACCGCCGCTACCGCGTTCGCCGCCGCGGGCACCCGGTCCAGACGGCTTTTGGGATGGGATGGGCTGGGCTGGACTGGGCCCCGGTTAGACTTTTGTGTGTGTCGCCTGCCTTGTCTTTTGGCTTCTGGGCTTGGGACGGTCAATGCTTCGAACGGCACAAAAGATTGTGGCTTGTTCCCTGGAGAAGGAAAAGGGTAAGCGTGTGTTGGTTCGCGGTGTGTTAGAGGGAGGACAGCCAGCAGGCAAGCCGACAAGGAGACGGGAAGGTGGAGGTGGAATGTGCACGGTTTCGCGGCGCGGAACCGAAGCTCTCAGCACGAGTGGTCCGTCTTGGGCCAATGACACACTTTCACATGCCCCTTACCCCAGGTTCCTCCTGTATGGCTTGCATCAACTGAAACGTCGTCTGAACCTCACTGCCGGCAACCACCCTGCCATGTTGGTTTTTGGGCCGAGGATGCAGAGAGAACCACCCAGGTTTACAGCTTCACGTCAGACGTTTATCGTTTCTATTGTCAACTATGGATTGATTCGAGCTGGTGTTGGGCTCGGTTCCATCTCCGTCATCTGTCCTCTGTTCCGATCGCAACGCGAGACGAAGTTTCGGATGGCTAGCCTCATAGGGCTTTTCGTGAGAACAATCAAGTCGCTTTTCTCTTCGCTTTTCTCTTCGCATTTTTCCCGTCTCCTCCTGGCTTACCTCACCAACTGCCCTTCGCCGGCTCCGAACTCGCCTCCGAAGTGCCGTTTCCGCGCCCGCCGTTCCGATGAACGAGCCGCACTCTAAGCACACGTTCCCCCGAAGCCGTTCCCTCCTGTCCCGTATAACGTTCACCCTCGCATGAGCCCCTGTGACACCTTGTTTGTTCGCCGAGCTGCGCGAACCCGGGAACGGAAGGCCCGAATCCTCCTTCGCTCCCCGACAGTGTTTCGGTATTTGTCAACGGGACCGGCGTTGAAAGAAAAATTCGCCGGCGCAGAGAGGCTTTTGCCCGCTCAAGTGATCTCTGTTTGACTCGGACTCGCTCATGAGTTGATGAGCTTGTTTCGTTTCTCCTTCCTCTTCAGCCGCTCCACCCGTTTCTTGTGCATCTTCTCAGCCATCTTCTCGTAACGTTCCTTCTCCACCTTTGCGGCCTTCTTATCCTTGAGGTTCTGGATGCGTTGCTGGAAGCTGTGTCAACACGACGTCTCCTAACAGGGAGTGAGGGCGGTCAGCAATGTACCTTGCGCTCTGCCTCCTTCTCGTCCTTCATTTCCTTCTCCTTCGCCTTCATAGCCGCCATCGCAACGCGCTCCTTGGCGCGCTTCTCGTAGGACGTCAAGCCTGACGTCGGCCTGAAGGCCTTCTTGGGCGCATGCCATTGCTTGCCTGTCGCAGGGAGAGTTAGCTAGGTGCGCCGTATCGGCCGGAGAATGGGGCAGATGAGGTACCATTCTTCCGCATGCCAAGCGGCTTGTCAGCAGCGGAGGTCGTGGCCGTAGCCTTGTCTGCGGACATGACGGCAGCGTTGAAGAATTGCAGAGCTGGAGGCGGAGGAACGTTAATCGAACGTTAATTTGCGCAGTTGAAATTCGCTGTTCTGCGGACGGCTGGGAAGTTTGCCATGTCGAACAGAAAAATTTCGGCGGGGCACAAGGCTGCAGAGACGGCTAGCGCGTCCGACCAACCAGTAAAGTTGCGCCTGTGGCGGTACAACTCCACAAATTAAAGGACGTGCATAACATGTGGCTAGTGCTTCACGAAGGGTCCAGCGTCCTGAATCCTCAACCAGGGGAGGCGCGCATGAGGAATGCGAGCATCGGGAAATGTCGATGGGGGTTTGAATTGACAATTTCGATCGTCGGGGACAGAGACACGGTGCCCAACCATTGACCAGATCGTTCGACAAACGATGGTCTGTACTTCCAGAAGCCTCGGACAGAAGCCTCAGACGCTGCGTGTCTTCGGGAGAGGCTTTTCCCGTCACACATCAATAAAAGATTCGATGCGCCCCCCGTTGTTTGAAATGACGCCTAAGATTCGTTTCCAAGAAATTGTTGGTCATACGTCGGGAGGTCGCCAGCTTTCATCAAACGGTCGTGGCTCAGGGCTGGGCCCGGCCTTGAGACATTACGTCGTTATGTGCCTCAAAGAAATGCCCTCCAGCTCAGCCTTTGGCAGTGTTATGATTGGTCTCATTGTTGAGATGGCGGCCACGGAAGCAGAAAAGACGTTGACAGTTGGGTCAGCGGGACTAATCAGACAGATTGCAATGGAATTGCACCCAGCAGATGACGGCTGATATCCGGTATTGAGCTGTGGTGGTGGTGGCTCGTGAGGCTGCCGAGATGAACGCGGCAGACCTTTTCAGTCTCCAGTTGCCAACTTGGTCACCAATATCAGAATTTGGACACGACATCCCTGCTCGTTTGACCAATCGAGAAGTCCCGTACGCGTTCGAGGCCGCGTTAAACTTGGATATCCCAGACTGCGACCCCAGGTTCCCGATGCGAGGGCCCCAAAGATCCTCTTAGATGATGGGTGCTTGGCCACCTGAAGCAGGGATACCGGCGTCGTTTGATCCCGAGGAGTGAGATTAGGTAAAGGACAGCTGGCAGTGCACAAAAATTTGAACAACGGCAGTGTTGAGAGAAAATTATGATGACTTGCCCACCGCTTCCTGTCATTAATGTCATTACCGAGGCGTGGGCGGCGTGGGGTTTGCTGAAAGCGGCTGGTAGTCATCTGGCAGGCGAAATTACCTTGGGTCATCCGCAATTCGACTGGACCCGGCGCGGTGCGCTCTGATTTGCCGCCCGCCAACGCTGATTGAGGGCTGGGAGGCTGGCGCGGGAAAGACTGGTATTCTTAGAACAGTTTGGCAGATCGGATCGGATATGAAATGATGCAAGGCAGGATGTTTTGGGCCGGAGCCGCGCTTGCAAGACTGACGAAAGGTCGGGGAAAGAAACATTGGACAAGGGAACAGGAGGAAATGGGTCTCATTGAGAACTGAGCCATCCTGGTCCGGTGGAGATGTTTGCCAGCCAAGGAGGCAAAGCATCAATCACGAGGAGGATTTTTGTTACCTGCCGGGAGATGAGGGCCTCCCCAAGGAGGAACTGGTCCTGATTTCCCCATGCAGGTGTGTCTGATGCAGAGAGGGAGTCCACGGTGTCGTGGACCAGGCCACGAACCCGACGCCGACAGACCATGATTCGGAGGGAATCTCGGTAACCAACGCTACCAAGGCAATCAGGGCAATCAATCATGTTGGACATGTCGCCGGCCCAAACTTTCCAAGTTGTCGGGCGCTGATTGAAAGCTGCTACTGATGTACGTGCCATGCCGTGTGTATCTATCATGGCACTTGCTATGCCATCCCGTCGACAAAATCTGCCGACTGGTGACCGCAAGTTCTTCGTGTTGTTATCAGGCGTTTGAACCTCAATTCGGCCTCTATTGGTACGTGGCGTCATGCAGGTCCGTCTGTGCACCACTTCCAGCTTGCATTCGCGCGGGTGGGTTTGGATGCAACACGAGTGATTGACAGGACAGGCTGGGTTCTGGTTCGAGTGAGACGGAGGCGCGGAGGTTATCTGCACCTGCAGCGCAGCTGCAACTCTCAGGGAGAGAGACACGATTACGGCGGCCATGGATAACTCTGGAGTCACTCGATGCATGGCATGGTCGACCGGCAACAGTACAGCGGGCGCCTGTTTGTTGATTCCCGTTGCAACGGGCGACTCGAAACAATTGAAGGGTCATGAGCAGAGTACCAGCCCGTTAAGCAGGCTAATAACGTCGTCGTTTGGGGAGCTTCGCCTTCTTTGTCCACTGCCGTCAAGCCGCAAAGAAACGGCCCTGTCGCACAAAGAACCTGCCCGTTTCCCATCGGTCGCCACCAAGCGTTGGATGAATCGTCTTATCAAACTGTCGAACCCCAAATCGAAAAAAAGACGGCGGCGGACCGAGTCGCTGCGATTACTGGCATCCTGCACCGCCAGAGACCATCGGCCCCGAGGCCAGGGACACTGAGTCAAGATGCGGCTCCAAGCCGTAGCAACGTGAGGAAAACAAACATCAGAGTTCATGCCGCTTGATACTCTCTTTGTTCTCTTGTCGGAAGTCAAAAGCCTTGCGTCGTTTCTTGACAATCGCAGTAAACATCGTGGCTATGTCTCTCCACGCCGAGCGACCTGGCGATCAAGTCCCTGGTTTGACACAAAACAGCGTATCCATCTGGTCCTGCAATCGGGTGTCTTCGGCAACGGGCGCTCTGTGCATAGAAACCTGGTCTGCGAGTGACAGAAAGAGGCACAGTCCCATCTGGGGTTCGCGTCGTGTTGCCTCCATCCAGCTCCAACTGTGACATGTTCCCCCACCAAGAGGCCGGGGTTGAGAGATGGGGCGTCAAATACGGGAAACATGGGAGAATTAAGGTACTTCCATCCCATCTTCCCGTACACAGCAGACACTTGGAGGCATCCGGACTTTTTGCTGCATCAGTTACCATTAGTGGGAAAGGAACGCTGGCTGCTCTCAAGTGTGAGGCAGCACGAGCACCCAAAAACGACGTTGACAGATGATGTTTTCGGCGAGAGGTGCCGGGGTGACGGATCGCACTGAAAGATTGGTCCCGGCCCCAAATACGAAGCAAGACAGACCAAAGTTGGCTCCTGCATCCATTCACAGAACCGTACATAGTGACAGAGAAACTTGGAAGTCCAGCGCACTATGTTGCGGTCCTTATGCTAGAGACTGACGGGTTATCGCTACAGGTGGTCTTACCGCAGGCCGCAGGGCCATTCCAGACTAAGAAAAAAAGCAAGTAGATCTGCCAGGTGCTATCGGTCATCTGGCCGATTGATTTAATATGGAGATGGGAGGGGTCTTTGAGGCTTGGGGGTGTGTGGCCCCTCGTCTGCGGTCTCCATCCCTCGTTCGTCGCGCCTCCAGGCTTTTGGGGGTGCGCGGGCGCTGTGCGCCCTAGCAGCAAAGAGTGACAGAGCAAAAGTGACGACGGGGACTTGGCACATGCGTTTTGCACCCTTGACCGTCCCTGGTTCGAGACGAGGAGCCATTCAGAGGCGGCCGTTGCATCTGGACGTGGAGGAGGAATTCGGCTCCTACGCCGCTCCAAAGCAGCCACATTAGAACAGTCCAGTGAGAATGCTGTCCACACACACTCGCTGCTTGACCGCTTTGGCGACGGCTCCGGATTGAAGGCAAGAATCCGAGGCGTTGGACCGTATTGCGGCGTAGCTGTCGAGATGAGCTGAGTCGAGTCGAGGCATAATTCGAAGACGGCTCTGGATTCTGGAAAGTTGAAACTCGTCCGGGTGGCTCGGGTCGGGGAGACGAAGCCAATAACAGGAGATTGTCTTTTCTGTGTGTAGCCAGATGACGGAGCGAAAGTGTAAGTGAACGGCGCGGTGCTGGCTGTGCTGTGCTATGCCTTGCTGAACTTTGGCAAGACAGACGGACGACAGGGCGTGACATGACTTGGCCGGGCTTGACTTTGCTGTCTCTTCGTCTCGTCTGTTCTCTCAACGATGTCGAGGCTTTGCTCTTTACTGTGGCTTTCTCTGCCATTTGCCGTAAATGGGGCGATGGCGACGATGGAGGGGGCGTGAGTGAAGGCAAATCAGGCGGTGCGGTGCCTAGAGAGGCAATTGTCTGCTAGGGCGACCTTCTTTGGGCAGGTCGGAGAAGCGATGATTCGTCTGGTGTACGCCTGCCATGTGGTGGTCGTCTGGTCCCGTCATTGTTAGCATCAGATTTCTCCGGTCGGCATCGGCTGCTAGGGCAGAGAGGGCGGAGGTGCCGTTGGTTGAGCTGAGCTGACCCGAGCTGAGATGGACTGGAGCTGGTAGTCTGCTTAGTAGTAGGCCGGCGACACCTGTCTAGTGAGGCAGATGTCTTCTGGATGTGGTGGTTGCGGCTGCTTCATTGCGGGATTTGCTATGGTCTGCGTTGCCTCGCGTTGTCCTGGCCCAGGTCCATTTCCATGTCTAGGACCAGTCAACTTGCTGAGCTCGTAAGGGCCGTAAGGACCACAAGAAAAGGCGCCACGCTAGCAAAAGACTCAATAGCTTCTGTTCTGAAGGGAAGTTTCTTGCTCTGGCCGTGCGCGTCGGCCGGCTTGCTCATGGGATGCGCTTGTTGTGTCTTGCCGTCGTGAGGAAGCTTGGGCAAACGTAGGCAGGTACGAAATGGATAGGTATTCAGCAGCGATCAGCAGCTACGTAAGGTACAGAGCAGGTACGTACCGCCACGGATATGCTGTGCTAGAGAAAATAATGGAGGTCTCGATGCACGACACACCACGCAAGCTACTAGGTAGGTTTCTACGAATAGGTGATTGGGTACCTCGAGTGTGCACTGGCTTGACTGGGCTTGATACTCCAGAGAGGAGGGCGCAACGCCCCTGTTTCCGCTCCCGTTTCCCTTGCCCTTCCCTTCCTTCCCCTGGGGGGACGGGAAGCACCAGGCCTTTGACTTGCAGGCGAATGACTGCTAGATCCACCCGCAACGGTCTCAGACTATGGCAAAACCATTTTGATAAAGTCAGATTCCCTTTCGCAAAAGTATGAGTCTGGTCTATCGCCTGGTAGTGGCAGCGTGGCATGAGACAAAGAAGAGCAAACAATCAAACGGCGCGTTCGTTGTCGCGGCAGGGGAAGCGGTGTAAACGTCGGCCAACGCCGCCATTGGCGCCAAAGGGGCTCTCTGCCAGGGCAACCGCGCAACTTCGACCGGCCCAACGTCTGGAGGCCGGCCGCTAAGAAGCTATGCGACAGCTAAGCTACCCAGCAGTTGGACGTGTTCAAAGGCGTCCAGAAGAGTCCTGGGCTGCGACCATGGCCAGATGGCCGCTTGTTAGTGCGAACTGCTGAGAACCAGAGCCGGCTACCTTGGAAGGCAAGGCAGGCTAGTAAGGTGGTGGTGTCTACGAAGAAGCTGGCCTGCAGAAGCAGCGAGCGAGGGTGTGGCAGCCAACGCCGTCTCCTGGCTTACGATACTCCTCCTCACCACAGTGACGGGCCTAGGAGAGGTACTATGTAGACTTGGCCGGGTTGGCCAGGCACAGAACGGTTTCTAGTGGTCGGTTTGGGTTGGGTCGTCCAGACTACACCTCGGTTTACCTTACCTACTGCGCGAGAGCCTACCTATCCTTGGCAAGCAGGTTTGGAAAAACTGCAGGTACGATAGGTACAGACGAGAGGTACAGCTGCAGGGCCGCACGAGTATCTGTCAGGGCCCGTAGACTTGCTGCGATGCATGTGCGTGAATGCAGAATGGTGGCGGCAGCAGCGCGGCAGGACGGGCATGAATACTCCGCGGGTAGGTGGACGGAAGGGCAGGAATTTTATTTGCATTTGCATCTGCATTTGGATTTGGATTTCAGAAACCAAAACCGAAGCGCACTGCATGCAGCGGGAGGAGGACGGTGGAAAAGTCCGCTGTCATGACTTGTAAGATGATGGATGCGCAGGACAGGAGGTTCTTGCAGCAGTCTGGGAGTAAGGCCATCCATCCATCTGAGAGCGGGCGAGCGCAAAGACCAAAGCAGTCCAGTCTGACTTGTTTATCTTGCATTGGCAATTAAATATGAGTTACTGGGTATGGTTGGACGTGCTATACCGAAAGACAGAGCAAGAAACGAAGCGTGCTGTACGTGCGTTCGTCGCTCTCAGCGTATATCCATGGATTCCCAATTCTCACTTTTGCACTCTACACCTAATTTCAATCTTGCCTTCAATTCCCAAACTATGAATGACACCAGGGAGGTCACAAGAACCGCTGTGCGTTGCGCAAGCCAGTTTCCTCTGCTCAGTGCCTGCGCCTGTGCCTGCCCTTTGGCTGCCTGTAAGGTACTCCCACCTTACCTTAATCTGGAGTCTGGCGTGTGTCTGGCCTGCATCCCCCATCTGCAGCTGCGAGGTTCCAAGTACCTTCCTGCAGACGCTGCCCCTGCAGGGTACTTCTCATTGGTTCATGGTGTACACTGCAGATCCAACACAGAGACGAGAGAGAACTGGCGACTGCGACCGCTGCCCCATCAACCTGGGCTGGCTGCCTCGAGCCCTGGCGCTCTGGAGCCCTGGAGCCCTGGCCTGCTGATGCTTGTTCCGGAGGGAGAGTTATGTGTGTGAGAGTGCCAGCCTGGAGTGTCGTCCCTGCTTTGCCTTGTCACAGGCCCTGCCCGAGTCTTGACCTCACATCCAGATGGAATCACCATCGCGCATCCACTTTTCGCATGTTCCTGGCCTGTGTCCAGTGTTCCTGGCGCGACGGACGGCAAGAGGGAACTGATGAGTGAGGTGTGAGAGAGAGTGCGAGTGCCCGCCCGTCTGCCTGCCACCTGCCCTCTGTTGACCACACTGCACACTCACTCTCTCTTCAGTGCTCACTGCACGACTCCACCCTCCCCCTCTCCCCCCCCCCCGGCCGGCCCAAACCCAACTCAGATTTTGCCTCCACACCCTCCCTGATCCCTTCCCCTTCACCACGCCCCCCCTATTTTCCGATTTCCACCCCCCAACCGCTGGACCCGACTCGTCGCTTCCACACTCGCTCTCTCTTGTGTTTTCTGCTGGTGTGTGTGTGTGTGTGTGTGTGTGTGTGGTGCCTGTGGTGCCTCTATGTGTGTGTGTCTGTCCCCAATTCTAATCCCAAATCCACCCATCCATCCCATCCTCTCTTTTAGTCTTCCGCGTCGCAACCCCCCTCTTCTTCCTATCAACTCTCTTTCCCCCAAAACCCTTTTCCGAAGCCGTTGTCGCTCTTTGACTTCAGCTTCGTGGTCCAATTCCAGCTGTGAATCTTGCAGATTTGCTTCTGGTCTTGCACCGTCCGCTCCTTTACAACTTCTTCAAAATTTCAACTTCGATAAATAGCATTTGTCTTACCTGGTCGCCCGGCTCTGTTCACGTCCGCAGCCGTGAACGCCAATTTCGTCCAATTCCCAATCGCCCTCGCGCCGCATTCGACACTTTCCGCAAGGTGCCCGCTCGCCCGCCAGACCTTCATCATTCCGTGTCACGACGAAGGAAAAAAAAGAAGCACCGACGAGAGCCTGGTTTGCTAAGTCTGATGCCACAGAACTAATTACAAGTCTCGTCATCACCTCGCAAATCCTCCAACACGCGTCCTCCCACGTCAGGAAACGAACCACATCCCGACTTGATTCCTCTCGACGACCACTTTACTCCCTTTCACGACTTTCTATGTCCTTCGCCTAGTTTCTCACTGTCACGATTGCCGCAGCGCGGCCTAGTCGAGAATGGCAACTGCTGTTGGACCTGAGAGTATTATGGGAACACCGGCCACTCACCTTTTGGAGGACCCTTCGATGCAATCGCTCCCTCTCCCGGCAATGCTGGATAATTCTTCTACAACACCATCTTTTTCTGGCTCAGGTCCCCAACGATCACCGCGAACGATGCCTCCTCTGCCGAATCCTCCCTTCGTCTTCCCCGCGAGGCCTTCATCGGCTTCCGCGCCTTCGTCCTTCTCAAGGGCAACTGGCCGACGTCCATTGTCAGCCATCGAGATTCAGGACAAGTCGTCTCCTTTTGCCGAATCCTTCGACCGGAGATCGCCTGCGCTCCCAAACTTCACTTTTAACCCGGGTGCTTCGCTGTCTCCCGATACCGCTTTGCTCAGCCCCCCGCTTTCTCCTCCGCCAATATCACCTCGCCTCGTGCCATCGCCCAACTCTCTGTCTGCTTCAAGGCCCGGCCACGGCCACAGACGAGGAGGAAGTGAATTCGTCGGTGGAAGCATTCGCTCTGGTGACTCCATCACAGTAGCGAGCACGAGCCCGACGAGACCAGAGAGTGGATTTGCGGGAAATGGTTTTCAATTACCCCCTCCTAAGCCTCCGGGTCGTAGAGGCCACCAACATCGCCGATCCGCTGCCCTCTCAAGTCACGATTTGTCTCTCATCCTCCAGCCTCCCACGTCAGGGCCCCCTCGAGGGAGCAGCGCGCCAACAAGCCCTTCTGACTACGACAACAGACGCTTGGAGAACCAACCCACAGGGCACGACGAAAAGACGTTGAAGTATGTTGAGTCTGAGCCTTCGCTGAAGGTGCCCAGGGAGATGCACACACCGTCGGACGGATCAGCAAGCTCGAGTGGCCGAGCGTCACCCGTGGCCAGGCCAGTGACCCGCGCTCGCGTTGGCTTTTCTGATACACTGGAATTCATTCCACGCCCATTGTCTATGGTATCCAGCGACACTTCCAGCACCGTCACAGCTCGACCCGGCGGTCATTCCGTATCGGGCAGCATCTCCTCCATCATCTCTATCCCAACCATCACAAATATTGAGACGGAACCCGTTATTCCTCTCGTACTCACACCGTCACGCCAGACCAGCGAATCCAGACCAAGCACAGCTGGCGCGGTATTAGAACGGTCCCAAAGCATTCAGTCTGTGGGAGCTTCTCCCAGAAGGCGAAACTCCATTCCTGCACTCATCAACGTGGCCGAGGCAGCCAGCGTTGGTCCGCCTATTCCCAGTCCGACGAAAACACCAAAACGCTGGTCATTCTTCGGTCTTGATCCCTTTGCTGCTGCAGCATCGCCATTGCGTAATAGACCCGTCAGCTCCAGTTCTTCTGAATCTGCATCAAAACCCAACAGCTTGTCGTCATCTTCCTCGGAACATATCTCAGAATCCGTAGGAATCTCAGACGCCTCCGATCCCCACAGCAAGGACGGCAAGAAGTCCAGGAAAAAGAAGAAGGTCAAAACCTGGGCTGGCTCTATCCTGACCCGCAAGGAGAAGCGGCGGGCCAAGAAGTGCAAAGATCTAGACCTCTCCGCCGAGGTCATTCGACCCGAGCCTGTGGAACAAGAGGTCAAGGAGGAAGTCTTCCTCGCTGAACCCGAACTTGACGTTGAGCCCGTCACCCCTACACTCCTTGTCACGGACTCCTCCAGTCAGCCACAAGCTGTTCAAGAGTGGAAGCCGCGACCAGCCTCAGCCCAGGACGACACCTCTTTCCCCATGATCGACCTGGATGCCGCCCTTGGCCCCTTCAACACCCCTCTTCCCAACAACCCGGAGTGGGAGGCAGCCCAGAAAGCCGCAGGCTCCTCGAAGCGCCAGCTGCACAGCGCGCAGGGCATGAAGGGCTTTAGCGGACCTGGCATGCACTACCACCGGCGAGCGGAGAGTGCGCCGGAGATGGTCCCCTTCGAAGCCGGCCGCTTTGGTATTCACCGCTTTGGTAGCAGCTCAACCATGGCTGATGTGTTCGAGGAGGATGAGGAGGAGGATGAAAATGGCGTCAAGTCTCCTGCCTCGCAAGCTCGGGTTGTTGCTCGGAGGGGAACTGCTCAATCTGACCCGGATGTGCCTACTGACGAGACAACCCCGCCTGCCACAACTTTTACGAAGCCTATACTCGACGTCATGCCGTCTAACGTTGTCGACGACAGCACCGCCGAGTCAGCTTCGATAACCACCGACAAGGAAGTGAAGAGGGGTACAAGCATGCGATCTGAGAGGTCTGTGGCTTCTCTGCAAGAAACAACAATCCCCGAGGAGCCCGTACCTGAGTTGCCCGAAATGCCAGAATTCCGAACAGCATCTCTCTTCCAGGAAAAGGCAGAGTCAAGCGGTTCCCAGACTCCTTCGCCTCGCCGAATTCTCGCAAGCAAGGACTTGGCGCCTGTCGACGTAAGTCCTTTGCACTTGCCGACGCCCTCCAATGTTCCCGTCAGCCCTTACTCCATGAGCCATGCTTCTTCGTTCCCATCACCTCGGTCACCGATGTCCTACGACGCCCAGCGCATCTCAACGGCGCCATCGTCGGTCAACGAGGAGAACAACTTCCAGTCTCTTCTTCTCGGCGAGCCAGGCCCTGAGGTTAGAGTTTCTGTGGACATCCCTTCTTTGACCTCCAGTCATTCAACCATGACAAGGGATAGCTCGTTTGCCACCAATTCTCAATTCAGGCCGGAGAGCTTCCGCCCCGAACAGCAACGACCTGTTTCTGTGTCATCTGCTGCTTTCGGATCGGGTGCATTTGGTCGTCGGCGATCAAGTCTCGCTAGCCTGAGCAGGCTGATCAGCAGCTCACACGGCGAAAGAAGCAAGCTCTCGATGGAAGTTTCATATGATGGTGAGACTGATAAGAAGCACAAGTCCAGCAAGTCGAAGCGGCTCAGCCGGATGATGCGATTCTGGAAGCCCAACAAGGAAGACAACTCGGCGTAGAACCGTCGACAAGTTCCCTCTTTCTCGCCATCCAGACCGGGCGATTGGTCGCAAGCTGCCAAGGGCGCACCTACATCGATAAAGGTGACTTCACGACGCATGTATATGGAATTATTGTACAACTTTTTTACACTTTCTCTCTCGGCGGATCTGCCTGACGAGATAATGTCTTTTTTTACTGGAAAAGGGGCAACGACTCCAAAGCGAACACGTTCGGTAGACGTCACCCATCACCAACGTACTCCTACCACCAGATGAAAAGCATCTCAAGCTCGGCGCTGGTCTCTACACGAAGTGTGAGGCCAAGCGTTCTCGATAATACGAGCTACTTTGGGACATGAATTCGGCGTTCTTTGTGATGATAGCATGAGCAGCAAGTTGCATGAGCATAGCAGCAGGTACGCGGCCATATGTCTTTAGGCACTATGCGAGGGGGCGGAAACATGTGGTTCAAAGGTTTTGTTCCCGTTCTCTGGACATATCAGGGATGAGTTGCGAATTAAGGAAGGCGAAAAGAAAGGAGGCAGACAAGTCGAGACACAATTACAGTGTTCTCTTGGTTCTTTGGTCGGCTGGCTGCTTCAGCCCTGTAGACAATGGACAAACCGCGACGTAGACAAATATTAATGAACATATTTCTGAGTAACCTTGAGTTTGATGAAGCGTGATTACATGAGACGAACGATGAGTGTGACACGTCACGAGACGTAACGTCTCCATCGTGGGACAGCATCTGCTGCCACGATGGGGCACGCAGGTTTGCGGAGAGCACCCGCAAAGTCAGGGGCCGAACGATGGGCCCGATGTGTGTGTGAACAGCATGGCCAGGAGCCTCGGTAGAAGCCGTGGGATCCACTTCGTTGTCGCGTCATACGTTTGATTGGTTGGCGCACTTTGGGGGAAAGGTACCCCGTGGTCGAGCTCCAGGCTGTTGGATACACTTGCCTCACGCTACCTGACGTCTGGGCTAAAGCGAGGAGCTCCCCCCATCCGAAAGTTCGACACCTCCATGCCAAAGCTCCAACAAAGCTCCCTCTCCAATCGCGACTAGCAGTTTTCCACGTGAGCCAGCGTGCATACCGTACATTCCTGGATTCCAACCGTCTGGTTTGCACACAACCAGCAGCACCGCGAAACCAGATCTGGACCCAAACGGCGCAACTCTTGGCACCATCCCTTCGACCTCTTTCTTCTTCGGCGCCCATCCTCAAGATGTCGTGGCGAATCCAGAACCTCCCCGATTCTAGCTCAAACTCAACGGGCCCAGCAGTTGGGGGCAAGAAGAAGTCCAAGTCCTCGTCGGACGGCCGCGGCGCGATCAAGCGCCTCATCAAGGAGCTTGACGTCTGGCGCGGGGAACAGAAGGACGAGAGGGGCATTGAGAGGCTCGGGCCGGTCGACGATGAGGACTTGTTGCTATGGCAGGCTGTGATCAATGGACGGGGGATTGGGAATGGATATGATGGTATGAAAGACAGAACCTCCTCCTCGCTCCTCGTCAATTGCGCTTCTTGGCAGCCTCCTTCCCCCTCTCTCCCTACTCCTCAAGCTCCTAGCCAAGAGAATACGCACAAGTGTATACATTGCTAACGACTTCCTTTCCACAACAACACAGACGGCCGCTGGCTACTCGAAATCAAGATCCCGACAGACTACCCCCTCCGCCCGCCGACGATACGCTTCGTCACGCCAATCGTGCACGCAAACATTGCCCTGCAGACGGGCGAGATCTGCCTGGACCTGCTCAAGGACGCCTGGACGCCGGCGTACAGCGTTCTCGAGAGCGTGCGCGCCGTGCGTACGCTGCTGGCGTATCCGGAGACGGACAGCCCGCTCAACGTCGACGTGGCGGCGCTGCTGCGCGGCGGGGATGTGCTGGGCACCCGCGCTCTCGTCGAGTTCTGGTGTCGGGACGACGAGGGACGGTACGACGGCCCATAGGGTCACTTTCTCGTTGACTTGGTGGGAACCCCCACCCTCCCCGTTATCGGGGATGGTGTTATTCTTCTCGAGGTAGGGGAGGAAGAGAGCATGGGAAAAAGCAAGCGCATTCAACACGCCCTGCGTTGGAAACGGGGCAACAACGAAAGGGAGAGACAAGCAGGAAATTTGGACGGGATTTCGGGAGCGGAAATGGGACGGGGTCTTTTGGACAGTTTATAATCTTTATTATTATTCCTTGGCTGGTTGCACATGGAAGGGATGGCGCGCGTGGGTTGGGTAGGTTAGGGAAGGGCATCTGATAAGACGACTCGTCAGACTGTAATTTCCCATGGGATCAGAAGTTGGGACATTTCGTGGTGTATGTACCCTCGTGCAAAAAACAGAACACAATGTTCATCTCGCTCTCTATCACACTGCCTGGGCGCAACGTAACGAAAAGAGACACCTTCTAATGCTGCAAGTCTGTCCTGCGTCAACAGTACGTAGCCCGTTTCTCCCCGCCATTCTCGATCCCTGGCGCTTCGTTTATTCTTACACAGGTGGGACGCATCGCATCTGCTCAGGATCCTCGCCGGCGCCCGCAGCCTGCCTACCCGCCTACCGTGCCTATTTCCTTGACTCCTGGTCCTGAACCTATCGTCGCCTCGATAAAAGTCTGTATGCGTAGTTTGTTGTTTGTGTGACATGGGCAAAAAAATATACTACAAAAACGCCGTCTCTTTACTTTTCGCACCTCCCTTTCTCCTCCTCAAATTTCGAATGCAATTATGTCGGCAAGATACAGGATGGGTATCTGCACACTAAAAGGCATATGTTTCCAATGGACAAGAAAGCACCGCACATAAATTCGTAATGCCGCCGCCGCCGCCCGGGCCGTGAACTTGTCGACAGCGGCTGATGAAGGAGGAAACGGGTGTTTACAGGTCTGTCACCTCTGGGGTACAAGAGTAGTGGGCGTGCTCCTGTTGCTGCATCCCGTCATGGTGCTGAATCATTACTCATTGTAGTGGTAAACCTGCACATTGTCAGCATGAGTTGCACGGCCTTGGTTCAGGGGTTTGTTACTCACCCTGTAATTCGGGAGTCCAAACGGTTGCCAACCTAAGCGTTTCGCCATCTTGGCGAAGCCCTCGGTTTCGATGAGGTGGTAGAAGGCGAAGGGAGGGAACATGGCGCCATCGCGGTGGACGTCGGCCTTGACCAGCAGCGCCGTACCACCGACGCCGTCGAGAGGAATCTCTGCGCTCTTGTCCTTTTCGTCGGTACCCAGATATGCCATCAACGCGCGGTACGTTGGCATGTCCTTGTAACCCTCAAGCAGAATGTCATCGCGGCCCATGGACTCGGCCATTTTTTGCGCGATCTCGCTGTCCTGCCAGCTGTTGAAGTCGTACGGCCGCTCGTCCATCTTCTTGGTGTCCTCGTTATAGTATCGCTGGAAGCAATTGGGCACAATGACGGGCTTGTCATGGGCGGCCAGATCCTGGATGAGACTGGGCGGCGTCTCGACAATGTCGGCATCGAGCCAGAGAACCCACGAGGTCTGAGGACCAAGAGTGGTGAAAAGCAGCGAGTTGCGAGCTTTGGACATGACCGCACGCCTAGCCTTTTGGTTCTCCATCTTGTGCCGCTCTGCTTCGTCCTGGGATGCTATAGCGGGCTCGAAGTCCTGCCTCATGATGACGATGCTCTTGAACTTTTTCTCGGTGTCCTGGGTCCTGGTGATCTGCTCCTGCAGAGCGGCGGTTGCGGCGTTGCCCTCCTTGGTCTTGGGCAGGATGAAGCCGAGAGAGATGAGATCGTGAGGATAGCTCAGGGTCAGCAAGTTATCCCAGTACTCCTGATAGAAGCGGGACATAGGCGTGAGGATGAGGACAGACTCGCGGTTGGTGATTGGATCGGGAGTAATCGTGACATTGTTGAGGTTGTAGCGGACGACTGGGGGCGGTCTTGTGTCTGATTTCGACTTCTTTCGGTAGGGTGCGGTCGGCGGCGAGAGATGGTGGGAGGCGGTGCCTGCGGGCTCTGGCCTGGAGGACTTGGAAGGCCCGACAAGGAAGACGATGATGAAAATGCACAGGAAGACACCGAGGACGAGGGTCACTGGGTTCGCCTTCTTCAAGCGGACTGACCCCATGGGGCGAGCCATGGGTGCTGTGGGTGCTCACGCGGAGGCGATGGAGGACGTGGAAATCATAAAGTTTGATCGCAGACGGGAGGATTGTCGTCGACGGCAGTTCGCTTCGATCCTCTTCGCGCAAGCAGCTAGGTTGGAGGTTCGTAGCTTTCGGGACAGCGGTTCGGCGCGCGCGCTCTCTCGGCGTATTGGATACGTGGGTATCAAAAGAGTGTAGATGCGTTCTTGCAGATGAGAGTAAGGAAAAGGTTGGCCACGTAGGTTGGACAGAAGTCGAGATAAGATGCTCCCTCTCGTGGCTCTCTCTGGCAGGAAGGAGCGAAAAATTTGGCCAGATACGAGATTCCGACGGTTGATTCGGGCTGGTAGCAGGTCGATCGAAGGGATGCGCATGGGGGAGGACAGCTCTACACTAGAGTTGCAATTGGGCTCACAAAAGGGGCTTAGCGGCATCTCCCCTCGAGGACTAACACAAACTCCGGGCCGGCACTGCAGCCAAATGTTCCTGTCAGGGACTGCTAGGGCCTGTCAGGGCTCACCTCAGCATGCAGGGCGCTGACAGTTACGGGCGAGACAACGCTGTAAACTTGCGACCAGTGTGCGACGGCCACGCTGAGAGGTGCTAAGACCACGGTTAACTGCAGGCGGATGCGGATGGCTCAGAAGGGGTGGAATCTCGAGGCTGCACCTCAGTCTGACCCCTGAGACCTGCAGTGGAGTCCCACTAAGTTTCTAACATGGGGCGCGCCGTCAGAGGCTATTCTCAGGACGTGAGGTGGGTGGATTGGAATTTCCTTAGCTCGAGGCGTGGGTTCCGAGTCCCGTCGAGTCCATTGCCTCTGGTCCAATCAGGAGAGCCCCGCCAACCGTGGAGAGAGCTGTACCAAGTTGTTCAAGCCTTCAAGGTGTGTGCACCAGCCACAGCCACTCACACCGCCGGTCCCCATCCTGTGGCTGTCGGCTGCTCCGTCCGAGCTCACCTGGCGCAGTGGAGGTCGACTTGCCGTCGTCGCATCCAAAGAGCGCCGGTTGTCCAATCCATCCTGCAGCAAACCTTCCATCCGCATGGCCGAGGCTTAATATTCGCGACAGTCAATTCGGCCTACCGCCCAGTCTCCCAACCTTTCTAGACCGCAGCAATTCATTCAGAGTTCCACCATGGCGGACAAGTTAGACCGTAGTCTCGACGAGATCCTCGCCGGCGAAAAGGTACCGTCTCTGCAGCTCCTCACGCGATGCCCATCCCAAGCTGACGATGCATCGACAGAAGAGTGGCGGCCCTCGCAATAACAGCAACAACAACAACAACCGCCGGGGTGGCCCTCCTCGAAGGCGCGAACGTGAACGCCAGGAATACCCTCGTGATGGCGTTAGAAAGGTACGACGCGATACTCCGACCCCTGATGTTCACACGCGGTAGACCATCAGGCTCACCGGCCAGGTTGAATGATCCTCCCTCCTCATCCCGGTCGATTTCGATCCTCGCAGCAGTCGGCCCAAGCTGGACGCCTCTTTGAAAATCGGGACCACTTCTTGTCAATTGGAAGGGCCTAGCTAACAGGTATCGCCGCCTGCGATTCAGTCGTTCCGTGATGAACCCAGAAACCTCGATAGGTAAGCTCAACGAGAACCGAACGTGCTGGCAGCATGCTAACATCGCCACAGTGAATGGGTCCACGATCGTTTCGAGGAACACGGTATGGTCGACAAGCTTTAGCGGCCTCATACCCAATTGCTAAAGCCCGACAGATTCCCGCCGCGGTCCGAACAACCGAAGAAGACGTGACTCGCCGGAACAAAGGTAGCTTCTACGTGTCCGATACCGTGGGACGATACTAACGCATCGCATCAGAGACTCCAGCAGTGCGAAGCTGCGCGTCGATAACGTACACTATGAGCTGACTGCCGAGGACCTCGAGGTATGGACGAGTGCGACGCAGTGACGGGATAATGAAGCTAAAAAGGGGCGTAGGAACTTTTTAACAGAATTGGCCCCGTTGTGAAGCTGGATCTCAAGTATGACCGCGCTGGACGGTCTGAAGGTATTGCTTTCGTCACAATGTCAACTCGCGAGGACGCTCAAGAGGCGATCAAGGAGTTTGACGGTGCCAATGCCAATGGTACACAGCCTGGTGCTTTCCTGCGATTATCCGACGCTGACCCGCTGCAGGCCAACCTATCAAGTTGTCGTTCATGTCTGGTGGGCACGGCGGTCGTTCTTCTCGCAATCCCTTCGACTCTGCAGTCATGCCGGGCCGCCCTCTTTCCGAGCGCATCTCCGCACCCGGAGGCCGATCAAGATCGATGTCGCCCGGTCGGAAATACGACATGGACGATGCTGCCAGCAAGGGCATCGACAGATACATTCCCGGAACCCGCTCGCGCAGCCCCATGCCGCGTCGACGTGGCGGGGGTGGCGGAGGTGGCGGACGCAGGCCGGGTGCCCGCAGAGAGGGCCAGCGAGACCAGGAGGGCGGTCGTGGTGGAGGAGGAGGCGGTGGTGGAGGTGGCAGAAGCAACGGGCGGACTCGGAAGACACAGGAAGAGTTGGACGCCGAGATGGCGGACTACTTTGGCGGAGGAAACTTCGGCGAGACTGCGCCTGAGGCAAACGGTGGCGCAAATGCTGCCGGTGCTGCGGCTGCGGCTGTCCCTACGGACGATATCGACATGATTGAGTAATCCCTTCTGCGCTTGTCTGTGTAAAGTTCATGCGGACATGCAGAAGTTGGACGTGTCGAAGGAGTCACGAGATGCCTCAGACAAGGGAGGGAAGGAAGCAAGACATGTGGACGGCCAGGTGTGTAGAATGCCATTGTTCGAGTTCACCAATAGCATCTCGGACCCTTATAGAAACCAACAATTAGCAACCCCTCTTCGAAAGACCAACTTCCGGGACGTGGAACGCAGGTCAAGGTCAGGGCACCAATCATGGGAGTTTGGACCCTTTGACGGACTACGGTCCGGTTTTCGAAATATCCTAAGATCAAGATTGTCGTGCCAATGTTCCTGTTGAGGTCTGCAGATCCCCAAGTTGCCTCTTCGCGGATGGCCAAGAACAAACAGGCCTGATCCCTTGGACTTGCAGGGCCATTGCAGCCGCAACGTCCCGTGTTGCGGCTGCCGGATACAAGGGACATGCCTTTCTGGGGAGGCCCACGACTAAGCGGCTGTCCCCCCAAAAAATCAAGTTTCCCAAATGGAAGGCAGCCAGCGGCGCAGCTTCCAACCGGGGGACCCTCCATGCATGTGACATGCAACTTGGCAACGTTGGCAACGTTCTCCAAAAACCAAGGAATGGAAATCGCCCCAGGATTGTCTGCCCAGGTCCCATCCCCCGCCAAAGTGCACGGCCAACCTGCAACGTCAATGTGCATGCACCACCTGCTGCACGCGCCGTACTCACGGCAGCTGCCTTTTACTGCCCCGGCCCCAGTCCTGCCGCCCTTCTCGACGCCGCTCCTCCTCGCCTCTTCCCCCTCTGCCGTCATTCCAAACCTTGGAAATCGTTGCAACAAAGATGGAGAGTCGCCGTTGAACCGCAAAAAACAGACCCAAGGTAAACGGGGACACCGACGCTTTAACTCTCACCGCGCCTACGACTGTAAACGGACCGACGATAATTGCAACGCAGCAGCATGACTGTCGCTGGTACGCTTTTTGGCTTATATCTCCCAGCGGCGACCGCATCCTCTCCCGCTGTTCACGCTTTGCCGCTGCTTCTCTACGACTGAATCGCGACCACGTCGATCGACACTCAAACATACATTCCAACTGAAGGAGCACGACACGAGGGTTTGTTTCAACCCTCCAGGCTCTAACATCTTACTTTCTGAGATCAGCGCGACATACGCAACCGCTGCCTGCTGTCTTTGACATTGTCTAGCCATCCCGACCTCTTCCGGAGGTCTTGCAATACCCCTTAACTACTTCTATATTCCGTCATCATCTGGTCGACCGGACTCGAGAGAAGGTCACCATCTCTTATACGGGATGGAATCTGCCCAGCACACGGAGGGCCATTCGCCATCAACCAACAGCAGACGTCCACCTCGCAATAACCCTACACAACGGACACAAAGATCCAGCTCTCAGCCGCCTAGGCGTAGGAGACCCTCTGCGCGTCCTCCGCCCTCAGACTCTGGAGACGTAAGGTCGGTGTCAGACGGCTCAGAACGTGAACGTGGAAGCGACGTTGAGGAACTTGGCCGTTTCCCACCAACCCCACCACCCAACTCCTCAAGGCAATCGAGGCCTAGACCAAGACGTCCTACTGCCTCAAATTCAAGACCAACGCTGGCGCCACCGATGCCGTCAGAGGATGAACAACTAACAGACCCGGTGCCTCGCCGGCCGGCCATACCGGTACGGCGGTCTGCACCCAGAAGGATCCCGCGCCTTGGCGACCCCAACGCGCCCTCCGCGGCGTCTGACACCGACACGACGTCGAGCTCCTCGTCGTCGGGGGTTCCCCCTATTCGGCGCCGTCCGATCCGGACACGGACGGAGATGGATCTTTCCCTTCGGGGACCGATCCTCGAACAATCTCAAGAAGGGACTATTGTGCCCCCGGGCGTGGAGTTTGGGCCGGACTATGACGGCGACAGACCCCTGCCGGTGCGGACTAGGAATCCGCGCGACATCCTCGACGACGGTGAACGGGGATTCATTGTCGATCTGAAAATGAACCTCGAGATCGAGATTCAGCTCAAGGCTGCCATCATGGGAGATTTGACGCTTTCTGTATTGTAATGTGCAATGTGTGATGATGGGATTCGGCATTTTGTTTCCAAAGGCATGTATGAATACTGGTTTGGCGCACGTAATGAGTTACGCTGTAATAATAAACGGCAAGGGGGCCAAGAAAATAAGAATAGGTCGGTCTCATCTGGATGACGGTGCAGGGCGTTACGGACTTTCAGGTTCAGCGGATGGAGCGGATGTGCATATGAATTACGTAGAGGCGAGGGATGAGTAGGCAGAGTGAACGTCTTCAAACCACAGTTGTGTCC